TTCTGTTATTTTCTTTTTTCTATCTTTGATTCAGTGAGGAATTCAGATGTGACCCTCAACCAAAAGTCCTTCGCATTGCCAATCTACGCAACATATTTTATTTTTATTTTTTTTCCCCGGATTTTTTTTATTTTATTTTTTTTCAAGTTTTTGTGCTGGGGCTGCCCAGAACCCTGCCTGGGGTCATGCCCAGGCGGGCGATCGGGCATGAATCCAGGCACAAGTTGGGTGCCCTCGGGCCTGGAAAAATAACGTAGATCAAAAATTCATTGTACAAAAGCCTGGCGGCTGCCTTGTCAATATAAAGTCTTGTAGTAGTTCCTTTCGGTTTCTGAAAAAATGGAAGTGAAGCAATGAAGGCGTGGAGGATGTCTAGTGGAGGGTTGACGGAGGCCAAAAAGACACAGTCAGTTCTAGGGAGCATGTCTAAGGGAGGGGGATTGATAAAGGCCAAAATAGGATCCGGGTGCTAATGATCCGCTGGCCTTTCCAGAGAAAATATATCTGTTCCAAGATTCTGGATGAAGAACAAGGAGACGGAAATAGGTTATCGCAAATAAGAGTTCTCTCTGGTAGAAAAACAACTTCCAGGGAGTGATATAGGATGATGAAGGTTATCAAACCCACAATCTGGTGGTAGGCTTTAGCCTCCTGACCTGAAAATGAAGCGGATGTTGGTCACTGAATCTGTGGAGGGTGTCGATGGTATGCATTGCTACCAGCTGATGGGTACACGTTTTGTGAACGAGTCTATGTTGTGCATATGGGTCACCTTTTTTAATGTCAAAAATGATATATAATTAGTAAATAGTAATTACTGATGTAATGATATTATTAAAATATATGATTTTACTTGACTGGAAATGTGTGTGTGTGTGTGTGTGTGTGTGTGTGTGTGTGAGAGAGAGAGAGAGAGAGAGAGAGAGAGAGAGAGAGAGAGAGCTGATTGTTGTATGCTGTCAGTCGTTAGTGACAGTGGCAGCGAATGCAGAGGCTTGTGTTGCAGTTGGCGGTTGTGAGCTTGCAGTTGATCTGCTGNTGATTGTTGTATGCTGTCAGTCGTTAGTGACAGTGGCAGCGAATGCAGAGGCTTGTGTTGCAGTTGGCGGTTGTGAGCTTGCAGTTGATCTGCTGACAACAGCGCATGAAGCTTCAGAACGAACAGCGATTCCTCTTCAGTCAAACCTGATCACGGCTGCAGCCCATATTGATCCGCCGAAGGAGTGGCTGTATATGAATAGCTCTGGCGAGCAAGTTGGACCGATGGAGAAGGACCGGCTTCGGCGAGCGTTCTCCAAGGGCCATATAGATTGGAACACAAAATGCTGGGCAGCAGGAATGACTGAGTGGAAACCCCTGCGCGATATCAGGGAATTGCGATGGGCTCTTGGTCATCGACTCGGTGTGCTGACACCGTTTCAGGTGATTTCTAATTAATAAAATAATTATGCATTGCAAACCTAGTCCATGCCCCATCGTTGCTCTGTCCGGGTTGGAGGCTCGTATCCGACGGTATTGGTGGCCAATATTGGGCTTTCTTAGCAGAAACCAACCACCAGCCAGGCCTGGCCTTTGTAGTGGAAGGCAGGTTTCGTCCTCTTTCCGAGGCATCTCTCTCCAGAAGACTGTTTGCGACCTACGGCTTCCCCCGAATAGAACGCCCGGTCATTATAGCTGCATTTGGGGCAACTTTCAGTCTAGATACAGCAGTAATGACCAGGCGTTCTATTCGGGTGAAGATGGTAGTGCCAATGAAGTCCAGAGATTTGTATTTATGTTAACTCCTTTGCATACCAATATGGATTTCATCTACTGCGAAGTTGTGCGAACGGCAATTTTGGACCACCACACCCAAAACAACTCTCTTTTGGTTCCGAAATAACGGGCTTTTCAGTCCGAAAACAACTACCTCGTTAGATGTCATCACCGAACTGACCAGCCCTAGGTTATTCAAAATTGTAGTATTTTACTCATCTGCTTCCACTGGAGTTCGAACTCAGGTCTGTATTTCGACAAGTCAGGGGTGAACGCTCTGAGCTAGGCCAGTTGGTAGCATGGCTCTATTCTTTTTAATGAAGTTTCTGTTCTTTTCCTGTTTTCTCTCTCGACTCTGTTTTTCTCTTCCTTTGCTCTGGGTCTTTGCCGTAAAGATAACAAATTGACAATTAATTTTCCGAGTCGCTTCCAGACTGCCTCGCGCCCGCCCTTGTGTGTCGCGGCCGCCCTTGTGTGTATAAGTGTAAGCTCGGGAGGTCAATGCGATCAGTGGTGGCCATTAATGTAAAAAAACTGCAAAATTGGTAACCTTCCTCACACCTATCCCTTCCTGCCTTGCACAACCCTGGACCAACAAGCATCATCAAGTTGGGGCTATCAGCCTTTCTGGCCTGGTAGGTTGGATCTTACGGTGCGCCTGTGTTGACTTGTTAAACCACAAGTACACGGCCCCAGCCTTGCAGTCTGAAACTTGTCGCCACAAGGAAACGAGGCTGAAACGTCAAACGCCGGGCCCGCCGTTGATAAATTCAATTGGTCGCCGTGTTTTTGTTTTGCGCCTCCAGAATTTGAGATGTCAGACCCACGGCCCAGGTGCCCATGTACTGGTGCTTTAAGCGACACAGCAAGTTAGGGCTACCAGCCTTTTTGGTCCGGTAGGTTGAACCTGACCGCAGGCCTGTGTTAAGTGCTGTTGGCTGGAAAAGCCAGCGTGGTAGTTAGGGCTACAGCCTTTTTGGCCCGGTAGGTAGAACCTGACTGCAGGCCTTTGTTAACTGCTGTTGGTTGGAAAAGAAGCCAGCCTGGTAGGTTGAATCTGACTGCAGGCCTGTTGTTGAGTACTGTTGGTTGGAAAAGTGAGTGAAGAATCCAACGCAATGGATGCCAATCGTGATGTGTGTATCCAATTGGCATGTGAGGGCCGACATCACAGTTTTGCATCATGTCTGCACCTGGTGTTAAACCAGAGTTTGTTCGGCAACGAGGACATGAAATCACTGCACCAGTGAAACCCCATGCTGTGTCCTAGCTGGTGACTCCATTTTCCTGCTAAGGTGCAACTATGGAAAACTTTCTATTGTTGACGATGTAAGGTGCAGGATGTGATGTGCTGTGTCCCAGTATGTGAGAGAATTAAAGGAAACGAAGCTTACATTTCATGCATCAAACTGGCCTCGTGCAAGTACTTGTTGTATGTAAACAAGATCGTGCCATGCATTGTGGTGGGTGGGGTAGCTGGTCCTCGGATCCGATGTGCTGGACATGCAGCTGAAACGATTGGCAACTGTGAAGTGCATTGCAGGAGGAGGTTCAGACGTAATAATAATTGCTCTTTCGGTTATCGAACATTCAGAAGGTCCAATCTACGTATAGATTTTGAATGGGATATATGGACGGATGCTTGTAATCTGAAAATGTTTCGTGTAATGGCATCATCACCTTCCCGCATCGTTGTTTGTAAACAAGGACGATGTCCTTGGTATACTGTGTATCAGATGTGTTCGAGGGTGTTCACAGTGTACTTGCTGAAACATGACACCTGTGCTCGTGTTTGTTTTTCCATCCGCCTACTGCGATATTGTAGGCTTTTATTTGGCTGCAATGCATATTTTGAGGTGTTCGTCTTACTTGTGGTTTATTGCTGGTGGTATGATTCATCCGATGCTGTTTGCTTGTATCATTTAGGTTGGCGAGGTAGCATTGTCGATTTTGCAGTCCCTGGTATCTGTGCATTCAAGTCTTGACAGTGCTGGCGAGCTGGTGTCACCGACACCTATCGTCAAGCGAATTCTATCGAGTCATAGGTGTTTCCCACACATCGCACAGGTGAGAAGACTGATCTACTTTTTGTGGAAATCTTGAACCTAACTGTCTTCTGCTGTGCTACGTCTCTCAGCATGCCTGGTGTTTGGCCTTGGTTGCTATAGGTTTACGCCATACATGTACGAGGCCCTCACGTACTCACACGTACTGTTTGAACTTTGAATGTGTACGGCCATGTATGGCCATGTATGCACTGTGCAGTGCATTATTATGGGGTAAAAAAGAAAAAGAAAAAATCAGAAAATTTCAAGAAGATGTGTCATGCAGCATTGTAGGATAACCAACTCTTGCCTTGGAGTCATCTCAAAATTCGTAAGGAAATTTGAGTTAAAAAAAACTTAAAAAAAGTCCGTAGACTCCATACACATTATTTATCCGCGAAGTCCTATGCACTTGTCTGCCTGTCTGTCTTGATATTTGGCTGCCAAGTCTAGTTCTGTGCACCCCCAGTTTTTCATCTGGCGCTCTGTTTGCTAAGTTCGTCCGACTTCCCGGGCCTTTACCCATCTCGGAGGCCATTGGTTTGCCTGCTTGCCTGCCTGTCTGTTCGTTTGACCGTCAATCTGTCTATTCACTCATCTGGTAGAGAAAGTATAGAGTCCTATGCAGGGATGGGTGAATGGGGAGAAGCCAAACAGAAAGCCGAATACATAGGAGAAAGGATGGAGGGCCACCGGGACCAGCTCAGTTGGTACACCCATAAACTGTTGAAAAGTGAGACCCAAGTTCAAATCGAGATGCAATCAGATGAACTGAAAAAGATAATTCTGAACACTTTGCATTCGGTGACCAGATTCGCCCTTTCTGACCATGCACATAACTTCCGTCGCCCTGAGAACCATCCAAAAAAAGGAAAGGATCAAGACAGATAGACAAACAGCCAGAACAGATAGGCAGGCAGGCAGCCAGAAAGGTAAACCAACAGACTCCCAGATGGGTAAGGGCCAACCATGCATGCCAACAGAATGATTAATGAAAAATTCAGAAGGCTCACTGATAGAATGGCTGGCTGGTTGGCGGGCAGGCAGGCAGACAAATATCACACACACACACACACACACACACACACACACACACACACTCACACACACACACACACACACACACACACACATGAACAACCGATGAACTGGTGGGACAAATGGGCTAAGAGGTGGGACGGATGGACGGACGGGCGGGGCAGACCGACAAGCGGGTGGATAGAGCAAGCAAGTGTACGGGACTTTTATGGATAAGTGGACGTATGGGACCTGATGGGCGAACGGATAAATGGGACATATGGGACCGGTTGTCTGCCTGGATGTCTGTCCACGTGCATGTTGCAGTCAGCGGTCTGCAGCTGTCGAATGCTTCTCTCTGGATTGTTTTGGTGCACTGCCACCACAGGTTGAGATGGCAGATATCACACGTTGCATTTCTGTGACATGTCTGTGAGTGGAAGTCCCCATAGAAAGTGACGAGATTATGCTCTTGTGGATAGAAACACCTCATGAAAGCATACTAACTCTCTTCGATGCTGAAATAACTGTCTTATGTTCTCGGAGCCATTAGTTTCACATGAAATGAAGGGATTGAAGGGATTGCTGATCGGATTCCTTTATGTAACTTTTTTTTTTTTTTTTTTTTTTTTTTTTTCCAGTGCCTTTCAGAGACCGGTAAGCGGGCTTGGTCGAACCCATGGAGTACATCTGGGCCGGGTCAAACTCGTATTCCTTTATAAGTTCATAACTTTTATATGCTTTTTTTCTTTCTTTCTTTCCAGTGCCTTTCAGAGACTGTAAGTGTGTGGGCTTGGGTGAACTCATAGAGTACATCTGGGCTTAGTGAAACTTGTATTCCTTTGTAAAGTTTGTATACTTTTTTTTTTTTTTTTTTCTATTATTTATTGTGTATATTTTTAATTTTTAGACTTTAGTGCCTTTTAGTGACTGGTAAGTGCATGGACTTGGTCGAAGTCATGGATTACATCTGGGCTTGGTTAAACTCGTATCCGTGGCTGCTGAGGTGATGTGTGTTTTTGTTTGTTTATGCGACTGAACAGGCGCTGCTAACAGGCGAGCCCACGATTGTGGAAGGGGCTGCAGCTCTGTTGGAAGCAATATGTACTCACAATCCAGCGGCCCTTGCGAAGCTGTATTCCACTGGTGCATTTTACTTTTGCCTCGCTTATGCTGGTTCAAACCTGCAGTCTGTCGCCAGTCTGTTCAAGATGGCACATTGTCATCAAGCCTTCCATGATGGTATGGATGCTACTGTTTCGTCATCGCTGCCCCTCGTGAAGCGGAGTGTTCTTGGTGGTCTGCTCCCGGCATCACTGCTGTACGTGCTGGAAACGGGGGGTCCTGTGAAGTTTGCCGCAGCAATGGTAGCAGACTCAGACAATCCAGAGATCATATGGACACATAAGATGCGAGGGAATCGGCTGATCGATCAGGTGAGTCTCTGGGGAGCAAGCCCCACTGGTGATATGCCCAGGTCAGGATTTGAACTTGAGCTTTGAATCCAATGCATGGCATCTTATGTTTTGTAATTCAACACATGGCATCTGAAGTTTATTATTGCAGACTCATCTGCAGACGTCAGATTCCATAACCAAGACCTAGACAGTCCATTGGCACCTGAAGGTGAAATATTAGGGCCAGCTAGCCCGTCCGGGCAGTGTTTGTGTCCAGGTTTTTTATTTTTTTATTATCATCATGGTCATGGTATGAGGGTATGCCCCTTTAGCCTGTGAGGCAGTGTGAGCCATCATAGTTTTTTACATCCATTAATCCGTTGGAAACGTATATAATCACAGAGAACTACTGTAGGCTGTCAGTGTTTCACGGATACACTGTTATGGAAAGGACGAGGAACACCCGGCCGTGACTAACTGTTCGGTCAGAGTTTGACCGACGGATCAGGAGGGTAAAACCCCTCCAGCCTGCAGAGTCCTGTAACGGATGATAGTTCACCTTAACCTTAACCCGAGTTGCGGCTGGGCACCAACTACTGCCCCACTGCTGACACCCTGTGGTGGGCATTGACCACTGTCCTTGAGGGCACCTGTTATGAAAATTTAAGCCGTGTAGTGTGACAATTGATGTTCCCTTGTGTCCGCCAATGTGTACAGGGTTTCTCTAGCAAATCTGGTGTTGACGCAATTTGTTATCTCTTTGGTGCGTGCCGTCGTGACAGGTTTTTAAGCACCTTGGAGATTTTCCACAGAAACTCGCACAACATTGTCACAGCCTTTATGATTATGCGCCAATGCCACCAGTGACTTATCCGGAGCTCAAGGATGAAATGTGGTGTCATCGGTACTACCTCCGCAATTTGTGCAACGAGATCAGCTTCCCTCGCTGGGAGATTGTGGAGCATGTGGAGTTCCTGCAATGCCTTCTTGCAATGTGGCGTGAGGAGCTAACGAGGCGACCAATGGAGCTCTCAGAGGAGGCTGCTTGTGAGATTCTGGAGATCCCAGAGGAGGCCATTGCAAAAGTTGAGGGCGGCAGTGGAAAAATGTCGTCTGGTGCTCCGGGGGCTCTTGTTGTTGCAACATCAGCGAAAGGGGCAGGTTTTGGGCGGGAAGGTTTTGGAGGCGTTGGTTTTTCAAGTTCCAAGAAGAGTTTGGCTTCAAGGATCGACGAGGAGGTGCTGAAGCGGCAATACAAGAAACTTGCAATGCGTTATCACCCAGATAAGAACCCGGAGGGAAGGGAGAAGTTCATGGCTGTCCAGCATGCATACGAGACTCTGCAGGCCAGCTTGCAGGGTTTGCAAGGTCCTCAGCCATGGCGGCTGCTACTGTTGCTGAAGGGCCAGTGCATCCTATACAGGCGATATGGAACAATGCTAGGCCCGTTCAAGTATGCCGGCTATCCGATGCTTCTGGATGCAATTGCCATTGACGAAGACGATACACAGTTCCTGTCGTCTGAGAAGACTCCGCTTCTGGAGGCGGCCACAGAGCTAGCATGGTTGACGTAAGTATCCTCTCATTGGGATGGGGCTGTTTGTGGGGTGTTGTGGAGGGGGAGGGACAACCGACGACGTTCACGGACGAAAGACGCCCTTCCAAATAAACGTGAAATAAGTGGGACTGGTTGGTGAGGTGTTGTGGAGGGTGAGGGGGCAACTGAAGATGTCCACAGATGAAAGGTACCCTTCCAAATAAACGTCAAGTATTATACTAGAATAGGCATATCTCGCTCCTGAAATCTGCCCGCTCTTTTTTGTTTTCAATTTTTTGGAATCTGAGCGTTGTAGAATCATGGCCATGGTGGGCGCTGGGTGCCCACAGCCACACCCACCTGCCCCACCCGACCCACAATGTGATTGGGTTGAGCTTGGGTTTACCTTAGTTAGCCGTCTTGGGTGGGTGACGGGCGTGTGCAGCTACCTTCTTCCCCCGAACACAACGCACCCTCATTTTGGCTGTATCTGGCCGGAAATAAAACTCCTATACATTCATTTCTAGGGTGCGTTATGTTCGGGGGAAGACAATAGTGGGCATTTCTGGCTCATGGGCGGGTCAACATTTTCTCTGGGTCATCCGTCAGGTGGGTGACAGGTGGGTGAAGCGTTGGCCTGGGTAACCCGACCCATAGACCCAGGACCACCCTAAAAAATATTCCCTCTCCCTGCACCGCCCCCCTTGGGCCCTTGGTGCCTCCCCCCCTCCCCCCCCAAAAAAAAGGAAAAAAAAAGGCCTTAGGTCCACTGTGCATTGCGCAGGCCCGAGGTTGAGAGAAACGAAAAAGCGCGCCTGGGTACAGTTACGCAGGGTTGCATGTTACATCCGGGCCAAAAAAAAACAAAAGCGCGCTCCAGCAGTCGTCCCTCGCCCAGTTTTTCTTTGTAAAAACGAGGGAGCGGATATAGCCACAGTAGGCGGCTAGATCCACCCTCTTTGAACTTCGCCCTTGGTTAGCCAACGTGGCGAATTGGGAAGCCCGCCCCCGACTTACCTGGCCTTGCCGCTGCGCGACGCCATGACGGAGTGACACTGGCGAGCGGCGCAAGGAAGACAAGTGGCGACACCGGTGGAGCTGTGGGCAGGGCTGCGTCGGCATGGGCGGGTGCGGGCGGCAAAAAACTAGGTCTTGGGTGCGGAGGGGTAATGATGTTCTCACCGGTGCGGGTGGGCGCGGGTGAACTTTTTTCGGGTGGCGGGTGGGTCAGGCAGGGCTGAAATTTCAGAAATTTCAAAAAATATTTTGGGTGGGTGGGGGTTGTCTCGAGGTGGAAATTATAATTCTTGGGTCGGGTGGGTGGTTGAAAAAAAAAATTGGGCGGGTTTGGTCCTGGGTGAGGGAAAAAAAAAATGCCCACCTCTGAATCACGGTCCACATGCATTCGATCCCGTGGCATGAAGGTGATCTCAAGGCTAATCAGATGCATTGAGCCGGGGGGAGGGAACCGACGGAAGGCGGCCACTGATGAAAGATGCCCTTCCAAAAAAATCATGTTGATATGGTATACCAGCATGAACTTGTCTCACTCGGGGGGCTGAAATTTCAGAAATTCCAAAAAATATTTTGGGTGGGTGGGGTCGACTTGAGGTGGTTAAAACCGTTTTGTGCATGTGTTTACTGCCTGGCCAACACACACTCATTCCCCGTAAATTCTTAACTCACCGTATACAAAACGGCAGTTGATCAGATGAATAACTTGGACCTTTTTCTTCCCTTTTTTTTATCTGTGCCCTAGAGTACAAGGTCATTCCCACGGCATTCCATCTAGGGGGCAATACTACTAGATCTTAAACCACCACTACAATGGAGGCTTCCCCCTGCAGAAATGCCAGTGCGATGTTTTTGTCTGCAATTGGCTGGCGGGGCCAGCCTTTTTGGTCCGCTTGCCTCAACCCTCCAAACTTTTCGGAGAGGCTCTCTCGCTTTCTCAAGTTGCCTGGGGATGGGTACTGGTGGTTCAAATGGTCTTTTTGTGTCCGTCTGTTGCCTTTTTGTGCCTTTCAGCTTTCTTTTCCGTGTCTTCCATCTTTTGTCAGTTCTCACTGCTCCAGCCCCATGTTGTCCTACTACCACTCTGACCATCGTCTGTACGACCCTCTCGATTGTCTGAATGGAAATCAGGTGTCTTTCTTCCGCTCCAAATGGAGCTGAGCTTGTACGCGATGGAGGTGTGCCGTTGCTGGCAATTTTACTCTCCCGGTGCATGTATGTTGTGCAGGTGAGCCTTTTCTCAATTCACTAAGCCTATTTACTGTCCTTGTTTTTGGACACCAGTGTTGCGCTGCACACTGCACAGTGATAGAGGGCCTCATCTGTGTTGAGGCATATTGCAGGCACACTGACACGAATTTGTTTTTGACCCTTTGGAGTTGTGATTGTGCACTGCTCTCCGAAATTGAAAGCAGCTTTCGTGACGTTTGCCCGTGCGAACAGGGTTGAAACTTGAAAGGTCATTTGCGAGAGAGGGGTCCTGAGGATGAGAGCAAATAAATCAAAAAGAAACTTCGGCCAAGTTGTGCCGTTGGACGGTGGGAACTATGAACTTGTTTGGTCGTAAATTCAGAGACAGAGAGACACACACACACACACACACACACACACACACACACACACACACACACACACACGCGCGCACACACACACACACACACACNAGAGAGAGAGAGAGAGAGAGAGAGAGAGAGAGAGAGAGAGAGAGAGAGAGAGAGAGAGAGAGAGAGAGAGAGAGAGACCCTCTGAACCTTGGGTACTTGGTTCAACTTCGAGATCCACAAGGTACGTGCTCTCTTCACGTATACAATGTTTTGACGGAAAAAAAACTTCAGTGCTCTCTCTCACCCACATGTCACTATCCACTCGTCTACACAAATGATTCTAAATTCACAATTATGAAGTGCATGGTTACCCAAAATCATGGCCATTCTGTTGAGTGCGTATGGTCTCTTTTATCATAGAAGCCTATTAGAAGGTGAACTTGATGTCGCCTCTGCCTATTATACTCTCTCTCAGTCATCTCCCTCTCTCCTCTCTCTCTTGCATACTTCTCTCAATCAGTGCATAAAGACCAGCTTGCCGTTCAGATTATCACGACTGTATTGGGCCAGAAAAATACCTTGTATTCATTGAATTCATTCATGACGAGAGCGCATTGTATTTGGTGGAAGATGGTTGCCGCAAAAATGGTCAGCCTCATGCTCTACCTTCGTGGAAAATTGACATCTCTCTTCATTTTTAAGAGTGCAGCGCTATGGAATCACTTGTCGCGGTCATCAATGAACAAAAAAATAAATTGCCCAGACCTCAATGATGGGGTCATCGACCGCCCACTTCCTTTGGCACAAAATGGCCGTCTCTTTGTTTGATGATTCGTTTTCATGAATTCAGCTCGGTGCTATGCAATCAACTATCACAATCATCAATCAAGTTGAATCAACGCAAAAAAAAATGCCCAGACCTTAATGACATGGTTGTGAGGCCAGTACAGAGAGGAACATCTAAAGGCCTGTTTTCACTGTGCCGGCTTTGGCCGTCGGCCCTCCTCCTGAACTGTAAGGGGTCCATGTGGTCTTTGGGGACTGATTGTGCAGGAGGGGAGCTAGATTTCATGTGCCGATCTCCGGAGATGGATGGTTGCTGAAGGTGAAGTTTGACTGTGTATCTCCTGTTTCGTACTGTTTTTTGCAGCCACAAACAGCACCAACCGACTCTCCAGCAGTGATCGTCACAAATGTGATGAGGACGTTCGCTTCCATCACAGTTTTTGAGAATGCGAGGACTGAGGTCCTGGAGTGTCCTGGGTTCATCCTTGATGTGGTTCACTGCTGTGAACTGGAAAAGGCAACAGCTGCCGTGGACGCTGCACTTCAGACAGTTTCTCACCTGGCCGTTGTCGCTGAGCTCCAGGAAAGGCTTCTGAAAGCAGGCATTTTGTGGTGAGAAATAACCTCAAGCGTCTCCCTTTTTTTCCTCCCCCCCTCCCCCCCCTCCCCCCCCTCTCCCCTCTCTTTAAAAGGGTGATGGACATTGAGATATCATCATGGAAATGACCTGCCCCAGGTAAATTTTAAAAGTTTTCATTCATCCAGATCCATCTGGATTCGAACTTGGGTTGTATTTCAACAGTTCATGGGTGTACCAACGGAGCTAGGGTCATTGGTACAAGGCTGCAAGCGTCTCCTTTTTGTCACCCCCCATTAATCTTTTTTTACCTGTAGTTTCTCTCTTAATTATTGGGACACTCTTGAGCTTCTACTTCAATTGGGCCACAGCCCAAACCTTGCTCTCTCTCTGGGCTCCCTCCCTTAGTTATCTGGGCTCTCCTAAACCACCATTACATCTTCGAAAATAGGGAGAAGATGATGGAAACAGAACACAAAAAACTGAGGCTGTTCGATCAGGATTGTCAATCCAATGGACCCAACTGAAAAAGGGTGGCCTCCACGTATGCAAAGCTTCTCCAGATTTCCTTGGAGTTGGGCACACACTTAAACCACCAGTTCATCCGAGCCTCTTTTTGCCAAGGTGGATTTCCCCCGTGTGCCAAGCTTTGCCGAAACGCCTGCACGGTGTTTTCTTTTTCCCCCTTTCGCTACCGCCCGCAGCAGTTTCCGTCCAGTGGCACTGTCCACCTGAAATCTGCAGCTTTCGGCCGCTTGGCTCAATTTCGATTCTCAAGTTTGCCTGGGCAATGTACTGGCGGTTTAAGCTCTTGCATTCTGTAACCATTGGCCACGCTCAAACCACCACTACTTCCAGGTCACTTTCCTCTGGGGCTCCAAACGCCCTGCCCGCCAAGCTTTGTCGAACCCGCCACGTTTTTGTCCACCAGTACTTTCAGGTCACTTTCTTTTGGGGCTCCAAACGCCCTGCGCGCCAAGCTTTGTTGAACCACATCGTTTTTGTTTTCTAACGGCTGGCAGCGCCAGCCATTGTGGGCCGGTAGCCCCGAAGCTCCGTGAACGCGGCACGTTAATGTCAAGGCCCTGCGACCGATGTAAGGGCCACGTAATGGTGGTTTCAGTTTCATCTTGCTGGAACCTCCTTTGAACAATACCCTTTCAGGGGCTTCCTCTCCACTTGGTTCATCGATACACGTATTACACAATGACAAAAATAAATAAATAGATGTATTTTAATCTTCGATTGCTACTGGCAGACCAGGGCCTGGTAAATTTATGTATTTCTCTTAGCCGTGGTAGGCGATGCGAATCTATAAAGCCCTACACACAAGGAACAGGGAACAGTTTTTGTCCCAAGACTGGTGGCAATATGCTGTGATCCCAACCCTTGTCCACTGATCAGGTGCTGCTTGGGAAAAGCCTTTTTCTGTTTTTTATTTTTTATTTTTTTAATCTGGACCATCTCTCGATCTATGCGTGTCATCCTTGCACAGCTCCCATGCTAATCTTCTCTGTTCTTTTCAATTTTAACAGATATTCCGAAGGACTGGCGATGACCATTTTCATTCCAATCAGCTGGCTTCTTCCCTCTCCAAGTGACATGGTCAGACCTCGAGAAATGTTTGTCGAATCGTGACATTGAGAACCGGACAGTGGCTCAATGTCTTCGACCTCAAATTTCAGAAGCTGAGAATCTCTGACACCACAGATTGTTGCCATTTTTTGGAGTGGTTGTGTGAAGTAGTAGTTGAGCGAGTCCAGCGAGTACGGAATGATCGGACTTGGAGTTGCGATGTAACTCCTATATCAACTGGCACGGTCTCACTCATAACACCACCAATGGGGTGGTGCAATAGGAAATTCAATAAATATTAAAAATTAAAAA